ATATAATTTATTTTTTCTATAAAAGTATATAAACATTAAATAAATTTATAATTAAAAATTAAGTCCAATCTGTTTTATTCCATCATTTACTTTCCATTAAAGAAGAGCAAAAACCAAACCGAAAATAAAAAATCGACCAAACATAAACCCCACAAAAATCAATAGAGTGTGTGTTTATTTTATAAAAACCGATATTAATGGTTCGGTTCGGTTTTTTATTATAAACCCACCCAGTAAAACCGAACTAACCCATGAGTTTAAAAATCGATCAAACACCAACCCATCGTATATATTATTTATTATATATATATATATATATATATATATATATATATATAAGAAATAATAACTATGTTACTATGTTTGATTTATGTTATGTTCCTAGACGAAATTGAAGTTATTTTAATATTTTTACCCTTCTTATCATTGCTTAGTATGTTTAAATTGGGTACGGTATCATTTATAGCAACCTACTTGTAGTGGATTTGAACTCAAAAAACCCAAAAAACCAGAAAACTGTGAACCCACAAAACTCATGGTTTCAAACCGAAAACCTATAAACCCAAACCAAAAAACCGACCAATGCAGAAACTGAACCCATATGAGTATTAAAATCAAAAAACTGACTTTCTATAGTTTGGTTTAGTTTTAGCCATAAACCAAACTAACTCTGACCTATGTTTATCCCTACTTTGCATTAAATAAAAATAGTTTTCCTGATACCGAAAACCTATAAACCCAAACCAAAAAACCGACCAATGCAAAAACTGAACCCATATGAGTATTAAAATCAAAAAACTGACTTTCTATAGTTTGGTTTAGTTTTAGCCATAAACCAAACTAACTCGACCTATGTTTATCCCTACTTTGCATTAAATAAAAATAGTTTTCCTGATAAAGTTTATTCTTTCTATGTATTCCTTCAACAAAATTTAAAATTTTCTTTTCAAACATTGATACCATAAATATCATCTCTATATAATACATTGTTTTTTTTATTAGATTATTCAAGTAGAAACAGTGTAAGATAGAGAAAAATGATTTTATTTATTTTTTCTTAATAAATAAAAATAAGCATTTCATTTAAAACAGAGAAGTCAAACTCAAACAACTAAAGAAAAATAATTTTTTAGGCAATGAATTATGACTTATTACATATTTAGTCACTTTTTTCGCAAATGATGCAATTAAATTCATATTTGTTGTTCAATAAATATTATTATAACTGAGTATTACATGTATAACTGATTTACCTTTATGATCGGCTATTGCAGCTATTGTAGGTATAACAGTTTACCTTTTAAAAAAAACACCAGTAAACACACATTTATTGTTAAAAAAAATATTAAATTCATATTTTATTACACCATTTACCGAACTAACTTTTGAAAATGTTTACGAACTTTCTTCTTTTTCGGCCATTATCAATTTTTCGGTTATCTTCTCTGACCAACAAAATTCCAAAGAAGAAAAGGAATACTACGGCTGTAAACGAACTGAACATTCGACGAACCGTTCGTGAACCATTTGGAGGAAAGTTTGTTCATGTTCGTTTATTTAATAAACGAATAAACATGACCACGATATTTTGTTCGTTTAGTTAAACGAACGAACATAAAGAATGCTCTCGTTTGTTTATTTACATTTATGAATGTTCATTTATGTTCGTTCGTTTATTCGTTTATATTGTTTTGTTTACTTATGATTGTCTGAAATACCAATTTATATGTTCATTTAAAAAAATTACAAAAAGCACATTCTCCTCCTTCTTATCTTTGTTGACATACCTCATGCCCTTCCTTTTACATTGTGAAAACCACCATACCTCACATTCTCTACGATCCTACCTGAATCTTCCTCCTTAAATTGTGTGTCACCAGTACCCACCTCCATTCAAGGATGTAATATTTATGTTGGAATTTGAGTTAGAGGTTTGAATCAATTTTTAGGTTTACAATTGAGTTTGAATCGATTTTGATGTATGTTGAAGCAGGCGGTGGTGGTACATGTGACGAAATAACCAAGGTGGATATGGTGGTGGCATTGGTGGAGGGTTATTGGTGGCTATGGTGGTCGTGGTGTAGGTAGTGGTGGTAGAGTTGGCAGAGGTGGCGATAATGGAGGCGGAAGAAGTGGTAGGGGAGGTGATGGTTGTGGCTGTAGAGGCAATAAAAATGGCCTTTGCAAAGGTGGTGAGGGAGAGCAGAGGTGGTGATGCTGGTATGTAATATTAATATATGAATATACTAAATTTTATATTAACATATGAATATTACCTCTTCCCGTCGTGGTGGTACGTCGGAACGCTGGAGCGGCAATGAATAAATATGTGGGATGGATTCATTCTCACATTCCCAATATTTTTTCATTCTTAAATTAACTTAACCCCCTCCCATCTTAACATGATTGCAATTGAGACTTCAAAGTTTAGGCGTAGCATCGAATAGACATGTCAATGGGTTGGACTTGGAGCGAATCACCCTTGATCCAAACCCTTTAAAAAAATTCAAAACATAACCCGACCCGCTCCAATAACCCTTTGGGTTTAGAATAATCTAATCCATATTCATATCCACCGAATCAACGAATACCCGACCCATTAACTCGACCATTTTACATCATTAATTTCATAATTTTGATGTGTCCCACAACATACTATTTCTCAAAAAAAGATAAAATGTCTATTTAAACAATATAAAATACTCAACGTCCATTACTGTAAACATTACTTAATAGTTAATAATCAAAATCCAATACAGTAAGGAATACATTTAATAAGATCCACTCCCCAACCCACTACAATAAACATTAGTTTATATATATATATATATATATATATATATATATATATATATATATATATATATATATATATTAAATGGGACGTGTTATAAGTGGAGCGAATCAATAATTATCCACATCCAACCCATTTAATAAAAGGGTAAATGAGTATGGATCGTAAATAAGTAAACGAATCAAAAATTAAAATCCAAAAACGTAAAATTATTACAGATTTGAAATGAATCAGAATTAAAACTCGTTCCATTGACAGGTCTAATATTAAACATTATTGATATGTTTTCGACAATAGACAATGTCTTGTTATATATAGGGTTCTATTACTCATAATACATTACAAGAAAAGTAAAAGACCAATAGTTTGTAAGTTATAAATATGCTATCCACATGGATATTATTTATAGCATTAATATAACAAAAAAATTGTTTGCAATCAATCGCACAACTATTTATGTGAGTATTAAATCTTAAAATAATAGATTAAAATTTCATAAAAAAAAATCTTATATTCATTTTAACCGAAAAAAAACAAAAAATGCTATTTGTTTTATACAAAAAAGGAAGTGGACAGAAACATGATTAGGTATTTTTGTCTTTTAACATCATATTTTCTTAAAATGGTATAAGTTTATTTAGTTTTAAAGGCTTTATTTTCAAAAGTTGGTAGCAACCATCGAATCTTAATAAAACCCTATGCTACATGTTTTTAATAAAAGTTGAGAGGTGTGTTGTAATATCGGCAACGAAACAATTTTACAAAGTGTTATATATTTATTAATTAAAAAAAAGGTGGTAGTCAGTTAGGTCCACAGATTAATTACTGCTAGACACTTGTTTACGGGTAAAAACTATTGTGTGGTATTAACAATGATTATGGATCTGAAAAAAAATTAATATCTATGATTTGAGGGTTTATAATATTACAATAGAATAACATACAGTATATAATAATATAAATTTCATCTAAAAGTATTTTAGTCATATAAACTAGATTTAAAAAAAGAAAATTATGGATTTTACGGGATAACTGACTCTATTATATTAAAAATTCCGATTAAAGGGGATAATATTTTTTTAAATTGAACATTCTGATAAAATATGTTTAGAAGTATGATGTGCATTCTAAACGAATATGCTTATGAATATGAAAGCATTTTTTTATTTTAAAAAAATATCTTTCTTGGTATAATATAACACACAAAAACATCATTTAGTTTAATAGCATGCTAAATAATTAAATTTTATGAACTAGTTTGAATCAAAATACTAAAGAATCTTAGAAAGAAAAATAATTTCTATTTTGTATTTTCAAAGAATATGATACAAGAAAAACATTCTTGAAGTAAAATATATAAACAAAAATAAGAATATCCTGATTTTTCAAGAAGTTGAGAGCATCAAAAACCATTATCTTCTTTTGCATGTCTCACATGCTCATTGAGAGCAACAAAACATCTTGTTCTTGTGTTTTCATGAATCTTTAAGTTTTCAAATGATCCTAAGCATATATATATATATATAAGGTTCAAACGAGAACAATTATGAAATCAAGAACGTAAGAACAAAATTTAATCACATATGAATAGTTTAATAATATGCAAATAAAATGGTTTAATCACATTTGAATAGCTTAATCAATGTGAATAAGAATATTTAATCATGAATAACTTAATTACATGTGATTAATACATATGGTATGGTAAAACATTTATCAAAAAATAGAAGAATTTGTATATATATAGAAAATTTTATATTAATATTAATATTAATTTATAGAGGATTAAAAATTAAATTTTTTTATATATTTGAAAAAAATTTGTTTAAAATAGCAATCTAAAATGTTTGTTATCACGATCTTGAATTTAATGATTGTTTTCGTTTCAACCTAGTATATAAGCTTCGTTACCCAACCCCAACGTACTACGTCGTTTCATATCATTTTTCTAATACTATATATATAAAATGAAATGAAGAAAGAAATGGCTTAAGTGAATGAGTTATGAAATAATGTGTTGATCGCTAATTGACAAGGTAGACAACTATACCACCAAAACAAAATAAAGCCGTTAAATGAAATGGTCCCTTACAAAGCTTGTCACTTTGCCTTTTGACAACTACATCTCATTATTTATCTCTTTTCCCTCATCTTTTTATAATTAATTTTAAGGACTCCAACTCACACATAATTGACAGATAACCATCATGTGAATGCCAGTCACTCCCCCATAAAAAGTTCCTTGCTTTTAAGCCCTATTTGTGGTTCTTCCTCTCACATACATTCTCCCACTCTTTTTCTGTTTTCCATTTTTGACAACCTTATCATTCTCTTTCTCTTAATTCACCTTCTCTCACAAGACCAAATCAAACACCAAACATACTTCTCCATCTTTCACCCATGACTACCGAGGTTACTGTAGCCGATCATCCTGCTCTCCATGAGGTGTGAATTTCGGGTTTCTTGTTTTCTCTTTTCTTCATTATTTTTGCGTGGTATGATATGATTGAATCTTGATTGGGGTTGGTTTTGATTTGTTTATACGAGTTCATCTTTAGTTAAACGTAGTAGCGACCTTAGTAGTTATCTGGCTGTCTGTTTTTTGTAACTTCTTAATTTTCTCTTAGTCGAGTAATATGTTTCTTCATGGATCTAATTGGATGAATATCTGATCTAACTATATGGATATATGCTAAAAGAGATTCTTTATTATTAGTCAGAATATATATACGCGCGGACAAGTTCTTTTAGAATTGTTTGATTTGAGGGTATCAGGGTATGCCCTGTAAAACAGATCAAATTTCCAACCTGAAAAAAAGTTTGCTCAGTACTCAGTATGCATGGCGTGTATTTGAATAATTAAAAAAATTTGTTATACTAAGATATGGCTGTTTACAATAAACGGGATGAACGTAAATACCATAAATATTCAAATATATTGCAGGAAGTCAGCAAAGCGATCGATGGAGATCATGTGAAAGCTGTTGAACAAGAGGTTGAAACTCACAATACCGAAGAAGTGAAAGATTCACCAGACGTTATTACTTCGTTAGCTGAAAAGGAAGAGCCAAAGATCGAAGACACACCATCTCCACCAACCGTTGAAGTGCCTGTAATTGTAACTGAAGAAACATGCAAGGAAACCATAACTGAACCTATTACTGTTGAAGACGTGAAGAAGGTTGAAGAGGAAGAAACCCCGAAAACTGAAGTGATCGTTGAGGATATAAAAACCGAAGTTCCAGCCGTTGAAGCAGAAGAAAAGGTCACTGAACCCATTGAAGAAGAGGAAAAGGTCACTGAATCCATTGAAGCAGAAGAAAAGGTAACTGAACCCGTTGAAGCAGAAGAAAAGATAGCTATTGTTGAAGCAGAAGAAAAGGCAATTGAACCCGTTGAAGCAGAAGAAAAAATAACTGAACCTGCTGAAGTAGAAGAAGCAAAGATTGAAGTAATGGCTACCGATAACGAAACCAAAGTGCCTTCAGTTGAAGTAGAAGAAAAGATAACCGAACCTGTCAACATTGAAGAAAAGCCAACCACTGAGGTGGCGGCAGTTAAAGAAACCCCAGTTACTGAAGTTGAATCGGAAGAAAAGAAGGTTGAAGCAATATCGGAAGAGATAAAGACCGAGGAGACTAAAGATGGCGTTGAAGAGGTGGTGCCGGAGACTGCTGAGAAAGAAAAGGAATCGGTGGTCACCGGAGAGACTATCCCAGAAGCAACCGCTGATATTTCTGAAAAGAACGAAGAGGTGGTGCCGGAGATCGCTGAAAAGAACTTAGATGAACAAGTGACTGTGAAAGAAGCAGTTCCTGAGGTTGAAGACAAGAAAGAAGATGATCCAGTAGTTCCAAAAGTAGACTCGGTTCCTGCTGATGAGATTGCTATGAAGAAACAAGAGGATTCTGATATTGTTGAAAAGAACGTAGATGAACAAGAAGTTGCGAAAGACTTGCCTGAAATTCCTGAAACTAAAGAAGAACCGAAAGTAGTAGAGTGTGCTAAAGAAACCGAAACTGTTGAAACAAAAGAGGTCCCTGAAGATAAAACAACTGTTGTCGAACCAATTAATAAAGAACTTGAATCCGCTACAACTGAAGCGCCAAAAGAAAATGGAGTTGCAAATGAAACTAAAGGAGAGCAAGGTGCTGAAGCCAATGAAACTGCATCAAAAGAAGAGAAACCTGTTGATGAAACAAAATCAACTGAATCTGCTCCTAAAGAAGAAGAGAAAACTACCCAAAAGCCATCGATTAGCATAATGGGGAAGGTTAAAAAGTCGTTCATGAAAGCGAAGAAAGCTATCACTGGGAAAAATACCACGAGTCCAAAGACTCCGGTTCAGGAAACTAAAGAAGAGGAGAAGGCTTAATTAATCCTCCAAAACGGGTGGAAAAAAGGGAGAGAATGTGGTATAATTGTTTGTTGTGTGAGTACATTTTTTGTGTCTGTTTGTTTTTTGTCTGACGTTTGGTGCCTATATAACTGGCTTGAATTTGTTTAGGAAGCATGCATGCTATCTTTTGGTGTGTATAATAGTTGGAGGTTTTGATTTGGGTTTCGTCATTTGTATAGGTTCGTCTTATTCTTTTTATTATTGTCGAACTTATTGTTTGGTCATATACTCATGTGTTGGTATTGTAATTATAAAAAGATATTGAATGTGAATATTATATATATATATATATATATATATATATATATATATATATATATATTGGTTTAATACTTTTCTTTCCATTTACCAAAAATCCTCTGCTTTTTTTAGCATTGGAGGCTGCTTTAAATGACTTTGAGGCTGTCAGTCCCCCCATCATATTCTGTAGCTTCCTTTTGCGTACTTGAAGATTCCTTTCTGTCAATAAACATCAACATATTGGAAAAGCCTCTTACAAGTCAAAAGATTCCATGAACAAGAAACTGACAGCAGAGGACTTGTGTTAACTTTTGTGAATCTTTGTATTGAAATTAAATAAAGAGTGAATTACCGTTTTAGTCCCTAAGGGTTGGTCAAATTTTCTATTTTGGTCCTTAAGTTTAGAATATGATAGGTTGCATGTTTTAACAAATTAGAGTATCGGTCCATCTATCCTTATAAAAAAATAGAATATTACAAAATGGTCCCTGTGGTATGGCATAATAGAAAAACTTGGTCCTTACGTTATTTGGATATTACAAACTTGGTCCCTCCGTTAAACGGTGTCAATATTTTCCTTCTAATGTCATCACGTGCATAGCAAGTGAAGGTATTTTCGTCCTTTTACGTAGCTCCTTCAATTACCCTTGTATCAGTGTTTTGCCTTGCTGATCTCTCTCTTTCACCTCAATATTTCATCTTCAACTCTCTCTTTCTTCTCCGACCCGTTACACACAAATACGAGAATTACCGTTTGTTTCTGTGGTCGAGGAGCTGTAATCCTGATATCGTGGATCGACAACAACCCAAGTTGAAGGTTTTGAGCATGCTCGAAGTTTGGATCAAAGTGCCCATTCATTGTATGGGTCGATCCACAAATGTGCCCTAGATCCATGCAAATCATACTCGACTTGTTGAGGGGAAGAAACAAGCTCGAAGAAGCTCTTCAACATGCTAGAATGTTCAAGTTTTTATTCATATTTACTTGGGTTTTAATTTTCCTTTTTATTTGGTTGAAGATATGAACTGTGTAGCAGGTGGTGTTATGATGCTAGTTTCGGGGTTGTAATCATTTTTTTTTCTGTTTGTTGTAATGGATGTGTCTTTGGTGCAATGGGAATGTGGTTGGTGTAATGGACAAGTTTATGGTTTACTTAATGGAATTGTGGTTGTTTTTTGTGCAATGGTGCAATTGTATTTTCTTTTCTACAACATAATGGTTCAATTACTAGTAGTTTAACAAGAAAAAAGATCCAATATTAACCGAGTAATGATCATTACATATACAATGAAAATTATTGGAAAACTTTGTTACCATTATAGGCACATAAATTACTGTAGTATGAAACCACTTAAAAAAGTTCCACATAATTATCTTAAACACATCCAAGGTGTTGATTGTTTAAAAAGCACTACAAAAGATCACATATAAGTGCTTTCACAACACAAAGCAAAACAATTTAAAGCAAACGAACAAAAACAAACATTGTCTTAAATCATTAAACACAAATAAGAGTTCACATGACAACACTTAGGCCATTGGTCCCTTCCCCTTCTCTTTCACATTGTCCTTCTTCTTGGCATTTCCCCTTTTCCATTTACTGTCACTTGGTCCACCTTGACCCTTGCAACTCCTAGAGTTACGCCCCTTGTTTTTGCACTTGCTACAAGTCACTGTTACAAACGTTCTTGATAATTTTTGAGTTTGGCTACTCCTTTCATCCATTTCTCTTTTCCTTTTCTTCTTAGGCCTACCAACCTAAACCAATACACTTATAAGCAAGATTGAAATGTATATAAGTAATTTTCATCTAGAAAAGGATTATACATGTCTATGATGGTTTGGTGCAATTAAAGTGGTGGTGCAGTTGGATGTGGGCGACATGCTTCTCCCATTTATTGGTTCAATGTTGTAACTATACATTTCTTTCCATGTTGTTAACCAATAACAAGGATGTACCTAGGTTTCAGGAACTCCAACTTCTGCTCCATTATCCAACATGTCAAATGTTATATCTATTCCATGCTTATATGGGATACCAGTTACCTCTCATACCCTACATATACAACTTTTGTCCCTCAAATTTACCACAAACTGATCCATGGACTACCACTTACTCGATACTTGTCATTTCCAGCAAATATACACCTGTATTGAGCATCATCCGTGTTTGCTTGTTCTAAAACTATGGTGGCATATGGTTGTAACATCTTGTTTTGAGAAGTTTCTTATTTCCGGATTATAGACAATAAATGGATCAAGTGAAGGCCTTAGGCTTCAAGGGAATAGGGTTTAGACCCTATTGGATGTGAATAATACTGGTTATGTGATCCAAGCTATTGGTTTGTGTTTTAGAGTCAAAGGGTAAAATGGGAAAAGTGATGTTTTAGACTTCTTTCATGAATTAGGAATTTTAGTTCGGTATGATTTAAGTCAAAAGTAATTATATAGGATTTTGGGACTCTTCAAGACCTTTACGTGCATAAAAAGAACGCAAAAAACAGAGTTGAAACGAAGAAGTTATGGTTGTTTTAAGTTGAAGTGGAAAATGGGGGCTTTTGATTACGTAGGGCGTAATTTAAAGTTACACATGGCATAACGAGGGTTTAATGAATTACGTAGGGCGTAATTTATGTTATACAGGGTGTAATCCGGGCAGATCAAAACCCGAAATCTGCGGTTTGGAGTCGTATTTAAGGGCTCTAACTTATGGGAAACCCTCTCATTACCAACCTCCATCACCTAAGAAGAATCCTTGAGAAACCCTAGCCTCCTCTCACTTGTTTTTAGGCCTTGACATCATTTATGAGCTTATTTCTCTATTGGAAGGTTGTATCTTGAAGAGCAAGGTGGTGACAAAGTGCATAGAAGAAGAGTTCAAGTATAGATCCAACAAGATTACCTCATTCTTGGACCTTTGTGAGTAAAAAGCTTCTAACTTGCTCATTGGTTTCATAGATCTAGCTATTTGTCATATTTGCTACTTTTTAATCATCTTAGTGCATAAAGTTTAGATCTTGAAAGTTTGTAACCTTGTTATGGATAAAGTTGGAAACTTTATCCATCTAAACATCATATTCATTCAGATTTTAAGGTTGGAGACTTGGACTTAATGGATTAAGCTGTGAAAGATTCATTTTTGTCCCTTTGAGACTTAAAGACTAGATCTTTGGTTGTTTGGACCATCCTAATGGATAAAGTTGGAAACTTTATCCATTATGGAGCTATTAGGAACCATATATGAGAATTGGATGGTTAACTTTCTCTATTAAGAACTTAATGCGAAGTTTGGTTTCATAGCGACTACGCATGGCATACATATGGGTAAACAACACATACCCCTATATTGCCCCATAAAAGCCAAGCTACACTCTACACAGGGCGTAGAGTTGGAGTATGTAGGCCTTGCAAGGCGGTCCAGTCAGGACGAAGGCTCAGAAAGTGCTCCAGATAAGCTGTAGGCCTTAAGAGGTGGTCTAGTCAGGACGAAGGCTCGGAAAGTGCTCCAGATAAGTTGTAGGCCTTGCAAGGCGGTCCAGTCAGGCTGAAGGCTCGTGTATGCATGCTATTATCTGTTTGGTTGTGTGGGGTACTTTGGGGGAACTCACTAAGCTTTGGCTTGAAGTTTGATTTGATGGTTTCAGGTACATCTGATGATCGAATCAAGGTGAAGGCGTGATTGTGCACATCATCCTTGGATATTTTGTTGATAAATGATTTTGGGAGACTTTCATTTATGACTATATCTTTTTGGAAACAATGAATTGAATGATTTAAGAATTATTAAATGATTTTAAAAATGAAAATTCTGTCATGATTTCTGGGATGTTACACGTTGGCATCAGAGCCCTGGTTTGAGAGAATTGGATGAACACTTGTGTGATTCTAGACTCAAACTAAGGATCTACAAAATATTTTTCAAAATTATCTCTAAAAAAGACCGACATAAAGGATGTGATGTGTACAATCAGCTGGATCTAAGGAAGTGTTCTCGAAGATACCCACACTTGTTTTGTGTATTGATGATTTGATAGAGATGCATGTTAGTTGTATGCTAGGGATTTTCACGAATTGCATGATAGAATTGCCTGATATATGATGCCTGCTAGCCTAGGAGAATTTTCTGTTATGCTATATGGAACTGACATTATCGCTGTGGTTGCTTAGTGTATGCATCATAGTTGTATATAACTAAGATTTTATAGCCTGAGAATGATTGATTTAACCTTATTTCTTGTTCCTCGTCCGGTTGTGAGCTTAGGGTAGAATCAAATATTTGAATGTCTATCGAATCTAGTGTTATGTATGATTAGCATGCATAAGCGGCTACAGGGTTAGTGGAATTTTCATGAGTGAATGTGGGTTGTAGAAAGCCAGAAATTAAATAATTGTTAGTTACTATTGAGAGAGTGGATATAGGACGTTTGTGTATCCTAGATGTTTGGGCCTAATGATCAAGAATTGTGTGTGAGGATCGTCCTGGTTTTATGATGTCCTATTATCAGTGGGTTTCACTGCTCGAATGATGGTTGCCTTGTGCTTTGTAGGACTCATATTGATATGAGTTAACTATTAAATGAATATGTTAAGTTACAGGCTACAAAGGTTAAATAATATTAGAGTGATAGATTTGGTCATATTTCGCAACTCTCGTCTGAGTCTAACCATTGTAGGGCTAAGTCTTTTAGTATAAGGTTATTTAAGTTTTTTTGCATGTATATGTATTCATGAAGTAGTTAGCAGAAATTTATAAGAGTCTTCTAGCAGCTGATAGCAGAGTGAGGTGGGGATCCTAGGAGAGGCTAAGGAGTGCTTTAGTGTAGGTAGTATGTTGTGTAGCGGGTATTAGGAGTATTATTGCAAGTTGGCGATTTAGAGGACTCGAGATTATTCTTAAGGAAAGTATGTATAGGTGTGGAAAGTAGTATTGGGCCCGTACTACTAAAAGCACAGGATATGTACTCAAGTCAAGAAAAATCATGGGGAATCTAAGAAGTCAGTAGGGGATTGATGTGAAGATTTATGTATATCG